AGGTAAATTGCGGGATGTGCCCCAACAGATCAGGGAACAAGAACTTGTCCGTACACTGGTGCTTACAAAGAATCCAATTCCACATCTTAGGAATCGACCCCTTTGCGGCTGCCAACAAAATTGAGATTACCTCACTCCTGTCCTTTGCACCACTGGGTTATGCCCCGGGGGCGTCAACTTCCAAGTTTACCCCTATCTTGAAATGTGAACACGTATTGTTCCAAACAAAAGCTATGCATTTTTTACTTTTCCAATGAACCAAGTTTCCATTATTGAGGATAGAGTGTTGTAAAGCTCATATAAAGCAAATGTCGATAAGAGGGAATTAAAATTTTAGAGGGTATTTGGTGGGGATAAAAATTAGATTTTTTAGTAGATTGTGATAGAAGTTGTTAAATGTGTAGTTGAAAAATTGTGGAACCTATAAAAGATGTGGTTAGTGTTGATTGTTTGACTTTAACTTAGATTAAAATCAGATTTTAATCCAAATCAAATAGTCTGTTAAATCCTTGTCAAAGTCAAAGTCAATAATTCATTTAAATCACGTATTTTAAGACATTCATAAGTTTTTAATCATATACTGCATCAAATTTTATCAAAATTTACTAAAAATTTAATTTTAACTTGTAACATCACATTTCTCTTTTCCTAATTTTTGCGAATATGATATTCCCTAATGATATATTTAATGCTTATTATTAATTTATTGTCAATGTGACTACTAATATGTTGTAGTGGATTATACCTTGAACGTCCTAGGTGATTGACATGCCAATTAAAGCTAATTATATGAAAATCAAATGAAAATCTAGAAAAGGGAAGGAAATGTAAATAGATGAAGAAAGAGGACTAGTAATTATTGAGGAGAGTGTGCTGTACAGCTCATATAAAGCAAATGTCAGTAATGGGGAATTAAAATTTAAATATTTACCAAAGTTGGAGTCAATAATTGATTTAAATCAAGTACTTTATGATATTCATAACTTTTCAAATATGTTATTGAGTTGTGAATATCACAGAAGAATGCATTTTTGGAAAAAGTTTTGTCTGATTTGATGAGCTTTTTTGAAGGAAAATGATAACTTTTTTACAAGGAGTAGAAGTCTTGTCAAAGCGGCGTTAAGTATAAGATCTAATAATTAAGTTGAGTGAGGATTAGTTTGTTCTACTCAAATGTGCTTTTTACAATAAAAAATGAACCAAAGTAGATCAAGATAAATTGATCTATAAACAGCTTCTCTAACCTTAAAAAAATCGAGTCATTTTTACATTGACATTCAGTGCTTGTTTGGGAAAGTTAAACAGTTGATTTTGTTAAAAGAAGTGGAAGATCTTTTGGAATTAGTGGTGGAAAAGCGAGTAATACTAGTGGATTTTATGTAATGTAAGATTAATATAAAGGGTGGTTATATTATCACCACAATAAGTGTTTGGTACCCTATAATTTTCTTATTTATTTTAAAAAATTACTAGTAAAATGACATAAGTACCCTATCTTTTATTCACTAATATATTTATTCATACGATCACTACCATCCGTACACAAAAAATACATAACTCCTACTTAAAGATACAAATGCCAAGATCAAAAGATCCAAGATTCACTAATATATTTATTCATATGACCACTACCATCCGTACACAAAAAATACATAACTCCTACTTAAATATACAAATGCCAAGATCAAAAGATCCAAGATTGAAGAAAAGAACAAGAAATTTTAGGATATGGTATAGGCATTTTGGAATATTGAATGTATTATTTTAAAAGTTCGCTATATTCTTCTTGGAAACTCGTCGTTATTGTGGAATATGCCATTATACAACCTGCAAAAGGTATTGGATTTGGAGGCTAAAGGACAGTATTTAGAAATGGATCAATGCAAGGATCGCGATATCCCATTTGCTGAAGACTGGAAAAAAGTAAGAGATATTTGTAAACTTGTCCAAAATGTATATGATGTTGCTGATGTTCTTTTCGAGACAAAACATGCTAGTGCGGGCATCTATGTTCATAAATTTCAAGAATTACAAGCAAGTTTGATAGAAGAATCTAGAAATTCTGATAAATTTGTTAGAATCATAGCTCAGAGGATGCTAAAGAAGTTTGAGAAGTACTGGAAGAACATGTTCCTTGTACTAACCGTTGTTACTGTTTTGGATCCGCAATATAAAATGAAGTATATTGAATTTTCTTCCTTGAAGTATGATACTAGTTATAGTATCTCGGAAGTGACAGCCATTTCAAAGTCCATTTACTAGCCTTATGATGATTATGTTACTAGCAAAACTAGAGAAGAATATTCTATGAGTGATTCGAATTCTGAGTTTGAAGAAGAGATTCCTACAAACATCAAAGAAAGATGCCTACTCCCAAACTTTGCTTTTAATTGCTTAGATGAGTATAAACAGTTTATCCAATCTGATAGTCGATCTCGACCATTAGGTAAAAGCTTGAATGCTACTTGGAAGAACCTGTCGTGCCTTGGAGCAAAAATTTCAGCGTGCTATCTTGATGGCAATATGTGAGCCCCAAATATCCTACCTTGTCCAAAATGGCTCGTGGATCTTTGCACATAAAATGTTGATATTTCATGTCCAAAAAATAATTGAGCCAATGGATGAAGGAAATTGATGAGGAAGAATGGATGGGGGAAAATGAGGAGTAATTTTGGGAAGGAGAGTACATTGTTATTATTATTATTATTTTTTTTTTTTTCATTTTCAGTTTTTATTGGGTTAAGGCTATAATTATAAATTTGTTATGGTATTTTTATTAGAAACATGTTGTTTTAATGTGTGTAGCAAGTAAAATTTGTGGTGGCAATAGAATTGCCTTAGCATTAATTGTTACTTTTGATCCCGACTTTTTAATCTTTTTCAAACAAGCATTTGCTCAATTTTTTGAATAACTAGACAAATAGTCAAGTTGAACATGGTCTTTACAATTGAAAAAATGTAAATAAATAATAATTTTTTTTCATAAGATTAAATTCTCCAACTCATAAAAGGAATGGCAATACGACAGGTAGTTTTCCTTGTCTTTTATGGCGTTGGATTTTCTTGGGTGGAGGGTAGGAAATTAGGAATAGGGAATTCATTACTCTATTTGCTCAATTTTCTAATATCATTTTGAAAAACAATTTAAGTTTAAAAACATATATGTACATGTAAAAATAAGAGTCTGAACGAGTATGAAGTAACTTGTTCTTCCTATATTGATTTTCTATTCAGTGGGATGGAACAAGACATTTGCTGTCTTCGCCTATAAAGAGCTTTATATTCTTAAAAAAGGTCATTTTCACATTGACAATTAAAAGTGAATAATACTATTCATAGTTGTTCACTATCAATTATTTCTCTATAATTTTATTTCTTAAAACTAACCGTTCATTCTTTAGCAGAGTTTTGTGTTTCTCCACCATTTCATTCAATTTGACAATAAGCTCATACTTGGAGGGGTTAAAATTAAATTTTTAGTAAATTTTGGTAAATATTGTTGTTTAGAGCTCATTTCATCTTATTTATAGACAATTTTGACCACTGCACAATACAAAACTCTTTCTTTATTCTGATTTATGACACTGAATTGAAATAATCTATCAAAGCCCTTGTTTAGGAGAGCTTTCGTTTTCAATTGTAGCCAGTGACCATTATACATATATGTTAAATAAGGCAAGTTGAGTGGGAGCCCTCAAGGTTGGAGTTCAACCTTTCAAATAAGGCAAATTGCAATTTTTGACTATTTTAAGACAGAATGATCCCTTAACATTTCATTCATTCTTCATGAGACAAGGACATTTTTGGTATTTAATTTTGAGACAGTAAAAAATTGCAACCAAAATGAGACCCATGTTCAACTGTGTAAGGGAGAAAAATTGCTAAAAATGGAAAAAAAGCTCTCCCAGACAAGAGCAAAGTGAACTTCGAAAAGTAAAAATACATTTTTTGTTTGTAACAATACTTGTTCACGTTTCAATATAGGGGTAAAATTGGAAGTTGCCCATATATATTTATAACACCATTTGGAGTTTGGACTAGCTTTCACATGGCGGGCAATGTGATATGATAGAAGAATGCAATTTTCCACAATAATGGCGCCCAAACGATGACCTGCTAATGTTATTGAATGATTTAATTGAATTATTAACTTTTACTTTCATAAAAATATAATTGCTACATTTGCTTTATATGAGCTGTACAACACACACCAAGAATTACTAGTTTTCTTTCTTCATCCGTTAACATTTCCTCCTCTTTTCTGGGTTTTCATTCGATTGTCAGAGCTGCAACATCCATTTCCATGACTTCAAAGCTATATGCTAATCAGAATTTTCTGTTTTTGCTTTAGTGGTAGCGTCTATTATTCTTCAAACAAGCATTTGCTCAATTTTTTGAATAACTAGACAAATAGTCAAGATGAACATGGTCTTTACAATTGAAAAAATGTAAATAAATAATAATTATTTTTTATAAGATTAAATTCTCCAACTCATAAAAGGATGGCAATATGGCAGGCGGTTTTCCTTGTCTTTTGTCGCGTTGGATTTTTTTGGGTAGAGGGTAGGAAATTAGGAATAGGTACTTTTACCCAATTTTCTAATATCATTTTTTTAAAAATACAATTTAAGTTTAAAAACATATATGTACACGTTAAATTAGGAGTCTAAACGAGTATCAAGTAACTTGTTCTCAATTCCCATATCGATTTTCTATTCGATGGATGGAACAAGACATTTGCTGTTTTTGCCCAAAAAGAGCTTTATATTTTAAAAAAGTTCATTTCCACATTGACATTTAAAAATAAATAATATTATTCACTCACTGTCAATTAATTTTCTATAATTTTATTTCTTAAAACCAACCGTTCATTCTTTAGCGGTGTTTTGTCTCTGTCCACCATTTTTCCCACTTCCACATGGTGGGCCATGTGATATGATAGAAGAATGAAATTGTTCCACAATAATGGCGCCCATACGACGACACGCTATGTTATTGAATGATTTAATTGAATTTTAATTGCGACATTTGCTTACAACACTCAAAATTACTAGTCTTCTTTCTTCATCCGTTTACATTTCCTCCTCTTTTGTGGGTTTTCAAAGCTATAACATCCATTTCCATGGCTTCAAAGCTACAAGCTAATCAGAATTTTCTGTTTTTGCGTCAGTGGTAGCGTCCATTATGCTTTAAACAAAAGTTTAGGGGGTAGACAACTCACATACACTATCTTTCTCTTTCCCTGCAATTCGACCATCCTTTCCTTTCCTTTCCTTGCAATGGATATCTCACTCACTAATTCGTTTACTAGTCCTGCAGATCTCTTTCTAATTGTGAGCGATCATATATTATATATCTCCTCCAAACATCATCCTATAATTGATACGTTACTTGGTTTTATACCTTTACAAACGCACGGTTTCTTTGATGAATTTCACAGAAACATTTTCTATGAATCAGTGTTAGCTGGACTTGATCAAGAGCTTAAGGTGTTCTTTACAGTCCCTGACCAGCAAATCTTGTCCAAGTTAACTCCTACTCTCAATTCTAATGAAGTTGTTGCGGCGTTCATCAACTTTCTCCTCCTGATGGTAGAAGTCATTCTACATTTTGAGGAAGATTCGATTGCTCGTGTAAAGGGTTCGTTCCAAAATCTCCGGACAGAGCTTGGATTTCTTATCACTTTTCTTGGGGATACAGCAATGCATTTGCAGCCCACCGAGACTATAGTGATAGATATTGAAGATGTGGTCAATGAGGTAGGATGTTTCTTGTATTCCTTCCTTTGGGCCATTGTTATGTTCATTCTAATCTGTAAAGAGAAAGAATTATATACTAGAATGTACGGTTGGAAAGTTGGGGTTAATGAGGTAGGAAGTCTCCGTCTTTCTGACTTTATCCACTTTCTTGAGGATCAACCATTGCTAAACACTATGTTGAAAGCAACGAAAGATATTAAAGCTTCGCTCCATAAGATAGGAAGTTTATTAGATTCCTTCATTTCCAAGAAGAATGATCAAGCTATGGAGCCAGGAAACTTAAATCTTGCTCTTTCTGATTTGTTAGCAAAGTTTGAGACCTTGAAAACAAAGATCAAGGAGCACTGCATCAGAGTCTCAAAGATCCCAAGTGATATGGCTCCTAAGACTGGTGTGGTTTCACTCTTCATTGTTGATTCCGTCCTCGATGATCTCATGGATCTAATAAATAACAAGTCTGACTCGACTGGTGTTGTGAATGATCAAATTGTAATGCTTCAGACGCTTCAGAAGGAGCTAATGTTATTGGGATCATCCATCACAGATATAGCATTGCAGCAGGAAGCAGAACATGAAGAACTTGTGATACGGAGCAGAGACATAGCATATGAAGTTGAATATGTTATCAAATCATTTCGTCAAGCTTGGTATCTTTCTCTCCGGCTCCCTCAACTCATTGACAAGATTCAGCTTATTACGATGGCTATCGAAAAAATGAAGAACAATGTTGATATATCTAGAATGTCAATTTTTTCGAAACATCCACATGAACATGTAGATCCACAGTCAGAAGAATCTCCCATTTTGGAAGACTTTGTTGTGGGATTTGACAATGTAACAATTGAAATTGTAGAACAACTTGCTCGAGGAATAGAAAAGCTACAAATTATTTCCATATTTGGGATGCCTGGACTTGGTAAGACGACCTTGGCAAATAAATTATATAATCATCGCTACGTTTTATACCATTTTCACAATCGTGCCTGGTGTGCTGTTTCTCAAATATATAATAAGAAAAATGTGTTGATTGAAATTTTGAGCTCAATGAGTAACAATAAGAGGGATACATACATGAAAAAGGAGGAAAACAGCTTGGTCGACGATCTTTACAAAAACTTAAAAGGAAGGCGATACCTCATTGTGATAGATGATATATGGGATATCAATGTGTGGAATGATTTAAAAAGATGTTTTCCAGATGACGGAGTTGGAAGCAGAATCTTATTCACTACTCGAAATAAAGAAGTGGGTTTGAAAGCTTTACCTCATAATTTCACAAAGGAACTTCCTTTTTTGTCGGAAGTTGAATGTTGGGACATATTACAAGGGAAAGTGTTCCAAGATAAAAAATGTCCTCAAGAATTGCTAGACATTGGCAAGCAAATTGCAAAAAATTGTCATGGCCTACCACTCGCAGTGGTTGTGATAGCTGGAGTTCTTGCAAACATGGAGAAGAAAAAACACTTGTGGGAAAAAGTTGCCAGAAATTTAGGTTCTCATATATCTGAAATACCAGAGAAGTGCATCCAAATATTGCAGCTTAGCTACGACCATTTACCAATGCATTTGAAAACGTGTTTTCTTTACTTTGGAGCATTCAAAGGAGACATGAAGATCCCTGTACGGAAGTTGATATCTCTTTGGGTTGCCGAAGGATTTATAAAGAAGGAAGAACAGAAGAACATAGAGGACGTGGCACGAGAATATTTAATGAAATTGATTGATAGGAGTCTAGTACTTGTTGCTGAAAAAAGATATGATGGAGGAGTCAAAACATGCAAGATTCATGATCTATTGCGTGAAATGTGCTTGAAAATAGCTGAAGAAAATAACTTTTTGAAGTTTATCAAACAGTAAGTTCAATGTCTCTTCTTTTTCCTTTCCTTTCCTTTCCATCCATTTTTTATTTTAGCTTACTTAGAAGGTTATTATATTTGATAATCGTAACAATGATGTGATTATGTTGTTTTTGTTGCCAGTAATGATGATGATGAAGATAAACAACGGTTCTTCAGTCAAGTATCAACGTATCAGCAGCACCATTGCCTGAGTATCAACTGTACGATACCTCCGAGTTCACTACCTTTTGGCCTACACGTACGCTCTCTTCTATATGATATTCATTTTGTGGGATCGAGCACACCAAGACCGACCACATCAATCTCATGCAGCCACAAACTTCTTAGGGTCTTTGATTTTAGCAGCAGGTCACTACCCTGGGGTCTAATAATAGGATTGGAACACCTGGTTCTAATAATAGGATTGGAACATCTAGTTCACTTGAGGTACTTGGCACTTTCATGTACACGGCCACCATTAAATTTGGAAAGGTTCCACAAACTAGAATTTCTTGTTGTGGACAATGATGTTGAAGTTGAAATACCTGAGATCCTCCTTAATACAGTGAGTTTGAGACACATGGAGTTCAAGGGCGGTGCACGCTTCAGTGAATCTAGTTGTCAGCTGGCAACTAACAGTAAGAACTTCCAAATAAATAACCTACGAAGTATTTCTAGACTCTCAATTTACGTTGAATTGGATGAGAAAGTTTTGGGACGTTCGCCCAATCTTCGTAGACTGAAAGGCAGGGTGGATAAAGATTTACTAAATCCTTCTTTCGACTTCCTTAATCAGCTCGAATCACTAAAGCTATATGAAATATTTCATTGTTCTTTTAGTTTGCCCTTAAATTTGAAAAAATTGACACTAGATCATGCAAAGGTGTCTCGAAAACAAATGGAGATAATTGGAAGGTTGCCTTGCCTTGAGGTTCTCAAATTAGAATCGGTTGCCTTTGAGGAAGAACAATGGAACACAAGTGAGGGTGAATTCCCACAACTCAAATACTTGAAACTTGCAAATGTAAACATTGCAGAATGGAATGCCTCAAGTGATCATTTCCCGGTACTTCAACGAATAGTATTGAAATCTTGCGGGAATCTAAAGAAGATCCCTTTCAGTTTAAATGATATTCCAACGTTACAGGAGATTTGGTTATATGGATGTCCACCAACTACCAACGAATCAGCTAAGGAAATTAAGGAAGAACAAAAAGCGATGGGCAATGAAGAGCTTGAAGTCATGATCTCTGAAAAACAATTGGAGGAAAATGAATACAACGAACTTCTGAAGGTAATAATGAGAGAGATTCTCTTCTTTAAATCTCTTTCACGTTCTCATCTTGGTCCTAGGTATTTTGTATTATGCTAAAATGAAACATCAAAAATAAATTCTACTGTAATTTTGGCTTGTATTGGAATTAAGCCCCTCTTTGGTTTGGGTTAAAATAAGATTTTTAATAGATTTTCATAAAGGTCAATGAAAAGTGTGATTGAAAAATTAATAAAATTTATGAATTTCATAAAATATGTGGTTGAAAATGAGCTAGGGGAAAAAATTAGTTTTAAAAATTTGGGACCAAATAGGGGGCTCTATTTTATGAGCTTCTTGATGTTATTCTAGGAATAATGATAAGTGCGTTTTTATGCACTTATGTTTGAATTGTGGCTTAAATTTGTTTGATTCTTGAATTGCAGGGTAAATTGATGGACACGGTGGAACTCATGAGAAAAATGAAGCGACAAGAACCAAAAGGAATCAAAGTGCCAAAACGAATCAAAGTGAAAGTTCAAGGACCAAAGCGCAAATATCCAAAAGATGAACCGAAGGAGCAAGAAAAGATTTGATAGAGCCAAGTACCAATTGGAGGTTAATATTGGTAACCTCTGTCATGGTGAATTCAATTTTATTACTGTACACTCATGGTGATTTAAATCAAAAGAAAATATTTCGTGAACAAATTACTAATCCATAAGGTTCTATGTTTGGACATTGATCTCTATTATTTCTGCCTTTCACATTTTTTACCATAAAATCGTTTTTACATAAAATCCCAAAGGTCACAATTTCACTTCTAGTTAGATTTTGTCCTTGGAATAATTTGATTGTTTAGGCCCAATTCCTTTGTTAATTGCATGGAGGTCCTTTAACTTCCGAACTTCCGAACTTGTTATCTTGGTCCTTGATTCCAGATTCTGTCCAATGTCCATCCTTCTTGATCAAATATCGTCCCCTTTTATTGTTTCCTGTTCAATATTGTTTTTTCTTCTAAAATAATTAACATATACACAAAATTAAGTATCTGGCTCATAAAAGTATTTCCAAACACCCACTTTTGATGGCTTATATAAGTGTAAAATCATACTTATCAACTGTCATAGATATACAACTTCAAGAGCCGAATGATCTTTTTTTGAGGTAAATAGTGATTTACTCATTTGTATTGCATATTTGTGTCCGCACAATTCACTAAAGGACAAGTGAATTCAATTGTGTGAGTAATATGCCCAAGATTTTAAATCAGTAGAAACCTTGGCATTGATGAGCAAATTTATATATATATATATATATATATATATATATATATTATTGATATGCACACTCATGAGATTTTAATAGGGCTAGGATAGGAGACCTTAATGATATTGCATAAAAGTTGTTTCTAACGTGAAAAGGTGTAGCAATTACTTTACAGGCTTGTAACATTGGTGTTAGTTATTTCAGGCTTTAGAGATGATAATTCTCGGCGATGAAGTTTGTGAAGAATCGATTGCGTAATTAGAAAGGAGATCAATGGTTGAATGACACTTTGGTGGCGTATATTAGAACGATGTATTTGACGATATCGACAACGATGTAATTATACGATATTTTCAAAATATGTAAGCGTGTAGGCTATAATTGTAGTAAAATATTGACTTATTTTCATCAATACATTGTTTTAAAAAAGTGTATCTTAATTTTCAATCATACAATGAAAAATGTCTGGCTTTGGAATGATATTAGGCTTGATAAAATCAATTATCTTCGGTGGCAAAACCAATTTCTGAATGTCATCATGGCTAATGGATTAGTAGGTTTTATAGATGTTACATTTACTTTTCCATCCAAGTTTGTTGTACAACTGCTCATTCGGTCGAAATTTTTATTTTTTCGATATTATGACTTCAAGCTTTTCATTTCCCATCGCATGTTGTTCTTCCTGAATTTGCTTATCAGATTCTTAAATTGCTTGCTCAGACCCTCTGCCACAGAACTTTCCTTATCATGAATTTGTTCGTAAGATTGTAGGTTAAGGATTTCCTTCAAATAAAATAGAAGAAGAAAAATGATAGATTTTCATGTATATCAAATTGAAACAGCAATCTCTACATATAGATGTTAGTACGCCTTTCCAAAGCGTTACATTTGTCAAATCTATTCATGATTACAATTATATATTCAGCAATACTGAATGAAAATATTCAAGCTTCCCTTCTTAATTTCTGTACAACTTTTTTAATTTGCTATATGCATATTTCCAGAAGCAGCTAAGTTGATATGAAACAAATAAAATTTTATTATTCAAAAATCAAAAAAACAGAAGAACTACAAAGTTAGCAGTCATTTTCAAGATTATCTTCCACTCTATCCATCCCCAAAGTTCAAAACAGGAGGGGGTGTTTCTCCTCTTTCAGTATTATTATGTAATTGACTCTTCATGTAAAGAGTTGATTGAACTGATTGACTCAAACAAAAAATATACATGGAGGCACCAACAACAAATGACGACGTAATTATAGTTGATGACGCAAAATAAGGATAATTTCATTGAAATAAATGACGAGCATCATTTTTTACTGCCATGTCATCGATATCCAAGTGACAAAACTAGACTAAGATCATGTAAGCATCTGAATTCTTGAACACACCATTCTTTGAAAAGATTTTCGAGATGTCAAATTTGAATAAAGTTCCTTTGTATTCATCAAAATAACTACAGGCTCTATCACATTTGTCGACCTTTAGTTCATTTTCAAAAAGCCCGTGTTGCAAGATTGAAGTACTCCTGACCTCCTACCTCCTAGCTAGACAGAGGATCAGGATTCGTCTTCATCTTCATCTTTGCCCTCGTCTTCCACTTCATCTTCATCTTCATCTTCATCTTCAGAATCTACGTAATCGACCTTTGCAATAGGAGATGCAAGCCAAAACTTGTTCAACTGTTTCAGAATCTAAAGTCCTTTGTCAGCGTTAGCGTTGGCCATTGACCAGATCACCATTCTCTTCAGCTTAGACGATTTTTCTAGTAAAAGCTTAGTCACTGCCATCTCAGCAACTGTGCCTGAAATAAAATGCAGCTTCACTTTTTGAAGTTGAGTTAAAGTTACATCTGAGTAGCCTTGCACTTACAGAAAATCTAGAATAGGACTACAGAAAATCTAGAATAGGACTAGCATCAGCATTTGCACTCTCACAAATCTAGACAATAAGGCAAGATATCACCGAGCTTAAACTTTTGTTTTAAAATAGAGAATTGAAGATGTAAGTCGTAATGGTCATATCCATCACTTACCTTGAATCTCAGTTCCTCAAGGTCGGGGGAGCTTCTGATCAAGCACAGAACACAAGAGAGTTCATCCAATAAATTAGAACATATATAAAATAACTTCAGAACTTTAAGGTGCATTAAAGTAGCTGATAGCCTTTCTTGGGCTTGACCTGCAGCCAAAATCTTCAAAGCGGTGGTGAAAGCATGATCTAATATAGTTTAGTCGACGATTTCAAGGGATTATATTTATAATAAAAAATACCTTAATGAAAGTATAGCTCAAGTACACTTTCTGAAGGCCAGGCAGAGAATCAAAAAACTGAATGAAGTTACATTGCCCATCTTCCAAAATATTGTCAACTACCCAATCATTATGTAAAGCAACCAAAATCATTGCAAGATGTGGGGATTTCTTAAAATAAAACGATGATATAGGGAAACATGTCAATTCAAAGTGTTTTAGCATAGAGTATCTATTTCTACGTAGTCAAATTTGTTTGAAACATTCAGCAATAGTTTCCCCAGTACCGGGCAGCTTGATATCAAACTTCCTAAATTCCTAATACATCAGCATCAATGGTCACGTCAAACAATTCCAGCCTAATTGGTCTATTAAATCCTTCAAAGCTTGGTGGTGGAGGATTGATCAACCAAGACAACGGCTTCAAATGTTTCAACTGTATACACATAAATGGTGAAGAAGGCGATGTGTACTGTTCTCCACTCTTTATTTTAAAGGTGAATTCTTCAACACTGTTCTTCCATAAGATATGTATCAAGTAGTCAATTTCTGAACAATTTTTAAGTTTCGGAATAACGAGGCTCAATTTAGTTATGGGTCCTGGATGAAGCAAAAGATCCTTGTAAAAGATCAACAAGAACTTCATTCTAGCTGATTCTAGGTTTCCCTTATTAAGGGATAAAAATCCAACATCGATTAAATATCGAAATATTGACCAACTTAAAAAAGATCTTGGGCTACTCCTCTTAATCAGATTGACCTTTTAAGATGGAACCTCAAATTTTAACATGGTATCAACTCATTAAACTCCAACGAGCAACTCAATCCCGATACGACTCTAAAAATGAGCACACAGATTTCAAGATTGGTTTATTCAAACGAGCCAACATCTTGTGGGGGCATGTTAAGGGATAAAAATTTCACATCGACTAAATACTGAAATATTGACCAATTTATAAAAATCTTGTGCTACTCCTCTTAATAAGATTGACCTTTTAAGATGGAACTCTAAATCTTCACATGATATCAGAGCTCATTAAGTTTCAACGAGCAATTCGATCCAATTAAAACTCTAAAAATGAGCACACGAATTTCAAGATTGGTCTGCTCAAACGAGCCACCATTTTGCGGAAACATATTATTAAGGGATAAAAATCCAACATCGATTAAATACCAAAATATTGACCAACTTAAAAAAGATTCTGTGCTACTCCTCTTAATAAGGCGGACCTTTTAAGATAGAACCCCAAGTTTTAACATCCCTTATATTCTTGCCATAGGGTCTCATGAAATCTGACGCATATTTGTGTGGGTCTTGTAATTGAATTTCGTCGAGTCCTAATGCACTTTAACTTGTTGAAGACTTAAAGGTTGAATCCCAACCTTGAGGGCCTCCATCGCTCCGCCCCTGAAGCATCATGAGGGAGGTAAATTGTGGGATGTGCCCCAACAGGACAGGGAACAAGAGCTTGCCCGTACACTGGTGCCCACAAAGTGTTCAATTCCATATCTTAGGAATCGAACCCTCACATTGCGACTGCCAGCAAGACCAAGACTATCTCACTCCTGTCCTTTGCACCACTGGGTTATGCCCCGGAGGCTAACTTGTTGAAGACTTTCCTAGTGATGTAGTGGTTTCACGCTTTAAAGTAGGTTTAATTTTTCTCAAAAGAGAGATCATCAAGTAAATTTGAGAAATTCGACTTTCAACACAAGTACAACTTTGTTAAAGTGTTATAAGTTAATATTAAAAAAATGTTTGAATTGGTAGATGATGAGGATGGCCAACCTAATTGGGAAGTCTAGGTACACTTATTCCTACCTCTTAACATCCTTGTGTAAACATGGAAATGTAAACTTATAAAGTAAATAACTTTTAGTTTACGAGAATTATAAATAAAATAAGTTATTAATTTTAACAATAAACAAGCACATATTTAAAAGAAAAACAAATATAAATCGTAATCAAAAGTTTTATCCACAAAAAAATCATAGAGACACTGCATTTCTTTAACACGCTTCATACACGGTGATTTTGAATGTGTATATGGCGAATACATCTACACATTAGATATCTGCATATATATTATCATTTAACATATAAATTAAGCTCATGTTTGGAAAGGTATAGCTAAAAAATTGATAAAAATTTAAGTTAAAAAGTCAAAGATTAATTTTCATCACACATTTATTAGGATCCATAATTTTTATCTACTTTTCTATCAAATTTATAAAATTTATCAAAATCCAATTAAAATCTAATTTTCAGCTAAACCAAATGAGGACTAATTCGTATGTAGTAACATGCAATCCAATGCGTATGCTAGAAGTCAACATATGAATTTTCAAAGCTATTATACCTTTGATTTCACCCAATAATAGGAATCTATTAAAAATCTTATTTTAAGCTAAATCAGACAGGGGCTAATTCACATGTTGTAGCATGCAATCCCATGCGAGCTCTAGAAGTCACTATATGACATTTCCAAACTATACACATCTGATTTCACCCAATACAAGAAGTAACCAGTCCATGGCTAGTAACAATTAAGCCCTTGTTTGAGCCTCATCCCCCCCCCCCCCCCCCCCCCCCCCCCCCCGAGGGGTTTTTATTTTGGAATAGTTTTCCTGGAAAATGCGTGGTTAAATTTTTTTTATTTTTAAAATCAACTTATGTGTAAAATTAATTTATTGAAGAATGTGTGGTTGAAATTGAGTTTTGAAACAATGAGTCTTTGGTAAAATGGAGCTCAAACAAGGGCCAAGTGCTTTCACCATTACATTGTGTCCACTTACTTTTATAGTAATCTATCCAACAAAGTAAAGCATTAGCTCAAAAAGACTTAAGACAGCTTGAAATTGAAGATGTAGCTAGCATAATATTATACGCCATTCAGAAAAAAAGGGTTTCTAGTCTCAAGAAGCCCACATCACAAGATTTCAATTACTCCTGACCTTTTTGAGCTAGTAAGCGAGCCTGCATTAAGCTCTACCACCAAAGTTCATTTTTATCGAAAGCTTTAAAAAATGACCTTTGCATTTGGTAAACACGCTTAAATTTGTTCGTCTCGATCAAAATCCCAAAATTCTTCGTCAGCAAGTTTCTCTAATGGTCATTTCAGCCTGATCACCATCTTATCAAGCTTCGGCGATTTCTCTAATAAAAGCTTGACGAGTGTCATCTCAAGAACTGTTGAAGAAATACATTCCAGCTTCACTTTTTGAAGCCGATTAAAGCTACAAAAAAATGCTTTCCAACAGCCAAAAAAATTGGTCGCTAAAATAAAAATTCTGGTTGGTAAAAAGTATCAGCAACCAAAATTGAATGATCGCTGCTTGGTCGCTAATTCACCGTCGGTGAATGTGTTTAGTGACCAATGTTGTTTGGTTGCTAATTATGTAACGTTCACCAACCAAAATCAACTTATGTGTAAAATTAATTTATTGAAGAATGTGTGGTTGAAATTGAGTTTTGAAACAATGAGTCTTTGGTAAAATGGAGCTCAAACAAGGGCCAAGTGCTTTCACCATTACATTGTGTCCACTTACTTTTATAGTAATCTATCCAACAAAGTAAAGCATTAGCTCAAAAAGACTTAAGACAGCTTGAAATTGAAGATGTAGCTAGCATAATATTATACGCCATTCAGAAAAAAAGGGTTTCTAGTCTCAAGAAGCCCACATCACAAGATTTCAATTACTCCTGACCTTTTTGAGCTAGTAAGCGAGCCTGCATTAAGCTCTACCACCAAAGTTCATTTTTATCGAAAGCTTTAAAAAATGACCTTTGCATTTGGTAAACACGCTTAAATTTGTTCGTCTCGATCAAAATCCCAAAATTCTTCGTCAGCAAGTTTCTCTAATGGTCATTTCAGCCTGATCACCATCTTATCAAGCTTCGGCGATTTCTCTAATAAAAGCTTGACGAGTGTCATCTCAAGAACTGTTGAAGAAATACATTCCAGCTTCACTTTTTGAAGCCGATTAAAGCTACAAAAAAATGCTTTCCAACAGCCAAAAAAATTGGTCGCTAAAATAAAAATTCTGGTTGGTAAAAAGTATCAGCAACCAAAATTGAATGATCGCTGCTTGGTCGCTAATTCACCGTCGGTGAATGTGTTTAGTGACCAATGTTGTTTGGTTGCTAATTATGTAACGTTCACCAACCAAATGTTTGGTCTGTATTTGGTGGCTGATAATAGCAAAAAATTGGTTGGTATGTACCCTTTTGCAACCAAGAGTTTGGTCAGTAAAGGTGTAGGTCAATGAAGGTGTAGAATTTTTATTTATTTATTTTTTACCAATGGTTTAGATGGAATTTCAGCAACCACAAGTTAGGTTGTACCTTATTAAAATTTCTAATTAATAAAGTTAATAAATAATGCAAGAGAAAATAATAAAAAAATATACAATAACTACAAAAAAATAATTGTGATTGCATACATAACAATTACTAATAGTTAATACATAAATTAAAATGTCATTGTATATTTATCCAACAACATATCATAGACCCTAATATAGAATGTGTCATATATCTCACCAAATCTATCCTATACCTTACAAAAGATGTCTTATATTTTTAGTAACATAAGTGTCCTAGACTTTATGAACAAAAGGTATGTGCAGACAAAAAAATAAAAAAATAAAAAAAATCTAGTTATAGACTTTTGTTCCATTCATACTCTATATCTTGCATCATCAGTATCACTGGATCAATGAATTTGCAGAATTTGATGCATGCAAAAAGGGACACCAGTCACCTTTTAAATAGCACCCTTTCCGAAAGAGTATGCAGGGCATCCCTTGTTTATTAGAGACATTAGGAACATCAGAAGGTGTAGAGACAGTCTGCAATGGAAGTATAGAAGATGAAGCAGAAGTTCGTTCTTGTGTTCCCAATAGTCCATCCAATGACTGAAGAACAAAAGAAGATCAATACCCACTTTGCTAATAATAAAAACGAATAGTTAAGAATTGTGATATCACCGAAAATAAAAGAAGATCAGTATCTATGTTTGCATATGATATAATAATACACTTTCGGATGATAGAATAATGCAATCTATGTTAAGAAAGAGAAGGATGATAGAATCCATACTTGGGATTCGAGCAATTACCATCAATGCAATTGAACTTAAATTAAATGTATTTCTACTAGGTGTGCATAAAGTAGACTAAGCCCTACAATAATAAAGTTCTTACTTTATGTATTCTCAAAATATGATGAATGCTATGTTTTCCTTTTGTAAGGATCCCGTATAATTGAACCTTCACATGGGTGCAAATAGAAGCTGCATCTATAGCTAAAAAGGACTTCATATACACTGTGAACTACAGAGCATATAAAAAGGAATATAGTAGAAGAAATACCAAGTATAATAAAGATCACAAACATTACTGAACTAAACTCAGTACAACAAACCTTCCAGTTGAATCCAAAAGCAGTGCTCTTATATTATCAGTGTCCTCTACGCTTCATAATCTTAGAACCAGATATTGGGTACCACACACCCACAACCTATAAGATATAAAAAATTTGTAGGCCAATTATAAGGCAATCCAAAGATTATTATATCGTAAGTGTGTTGAAACCATTACATTTGAACATTTGAAAAAACAGGATACTCCTTAGTAGTCTCTCACAATAAAGCAATACATGAAACAGAAGTAATAGGATACTCCAAAGATGACTAGTAATATATTTGGTTGAAAGAGGCTACACCAGATAGCAACCATCATGCCAGTACACAAATTTCTCTTCCTTGAACATCAAGTGGATCTGCAAGCAGGAATAAGGTTTTACTAGGTTGAATGGCTTAAAATGATCTTTCCAATCCATCTAGACGGAAATACATGGGCAAAGCCTAAACAACGATTGGTTCGATCCATCTTATTGATTGGACTCATAAGAATTAATGAATCTATCAAATAGATAAAATGATCTAAACTAATCCAGCAACATTCATTTCCTTTTCATTTTATTGTTTCCTTTTCATTTTATTATCCGTTCTTTGTTAAACCTTCTGTCTACACACAAAATGAAGTATTTTACCTTGATTTACAGCAATAACTTCCTCATTGCTTATAACTTCAAATGTCTCTGAGTCACGTTTCTTATATCACAACCAATCAAAAGAGGTGCCAGCACATTCAACAAAATGCCAATTAATTCGTGGAGGATTGAGAAGGCGAATGTTATTTTATGTTGATTACAAGAATACCTCATTGTTTGACAATGGTTCCGATGAAAGATTCATGCTTTTAAGCTGGTAGATGACAAGTTATTAAAAAGGAGACACTAACAAAGTATAGTATTATATTTGGTTGAAATCTATGTTTTATCGGAACCAAAAGTACAGTTGGGAGGTATGCATTAGTGACAGCAATGAATACCGATATTTTTTTAACAGTCCCATAAAAAAACATTAACCTCGAAAGGAAATATAGAGATACACAAAAGAGTTAATCGAAGAAGAGAGAAAGTATACCCAATCCACAAGCAATTTGAATGTAGCAGAGTAGGCAGCAACATCTTCAGCTAATGCCCGTCTCTTTAATGTTCCATCACAACTCCTAGTGAAGAGATAATTATACGCATATAGAACTGCAAATAAAGGAACTGCCCAACAGAAGAGACGACAAAAATTAGTACGCAATCTGCAGTAGCATATACTTGTAGGGACAATTACGAAGATTCATAATTGGTTGAAAGATTGACGTACTCAAACCTCTCCAGTTTTGGGTAATTGCTGTGAGAACTGCGAGTAGGGAGAGACGAAATGTCGAAGGGAGTGTAATTTGAAAATTTAATTTAGCCCCTGTTTGAGCCCATTTTTACCTCATTAAAATGAAAAATATGATCGTTATCCATCACATCAAACCATCATTTTTAAATTTCTATCTCTGGTGTGGGGCCTATAACGGCTCTATTTCTCATTCTCATTCTCATTCTCATTATAACGTGGCTCAAACGGGCTCTTAGGGTTTCGAATGGGATAGGTCTCATTTTTCCGATTTAGGCTATTCATTCGGACATCAACAATTATATTATATCTGAAAATTGTGTTAGATGTATATTATATTTTTATTTATTACTTAGCCGATGTTTATTTTTTATTATTTGTCCATTAAAATGAAAAATATAATTATTATCCATCACATCAAGCCACCATATTTGACTTTATTTCTCTTGTGTGAACCCGTAATGACAATATTTTTCATGCATATTCTTACATTAATGTGGCTCAAACAGGGCCTTAAAAATATTTATAAATTAGTATTAAAAATGACACTTTTGTTAGGAAATTAATAATTTTATAGATAATTTATTTTAATTTTTTTTATCGAAAGTACTAATAACTAAAATATGGCTGTTGATTTAAAAGTGCATCTCCATTGACCAACAAAAATATGTTCATTGGTCGGTAAAATGTCTATACTAAATTCTCCAATGATAAAAATCAATGTTGGTTGCTAAAACCCATTATTGACCAATTCTTGATCGCTAATTAATTCTTCAAAAATATCACTAGCCAAATTAATAAATAATCTAGACGACATCCTTCGGTGACCACATCAAATTTGGTTGATGATACACAAAATCAGCAACCAACCCTTGTTTGGTTGATGAAACAATCTTCCATAGACCAAATATTGGTCGTTGCATCATCATTAACACCAACCAAACAAAGTGATTGCTATAACTTCAAATAAAAAATGTCCACTCCTTTTAGGGGTTTTAGCGACCATTTTGGGCATGGTTGCTGAAACATTCCTCCAAGGACTATAAATTGGTAGCTAAATCATTACATATTTCCGACTATATCACAATGGTCGCAAAACCCCAATAAAAAAGGTGGGATCTATTCCCTCCAAGGGCTTCAGTGACCAATCTATATATGGTTGTTGAAACAATCTTCCAGCGACCAAATATTGGTTGCTAAAAGTGCCTGTCGCGCAAAATAATTTTGCTTGCTTTTTCCCACCTATTTATTAGCGACTAAATTGTGTTTGGTGGCTAATACATCGAATCGGCAACCATTTTTTGGTTGCAATAGGGCACAAGAAAAATAATACAATTCTATCCGACCAAAAATGTTACCAACCAATAATTGGTCGGTAAATGTGGCTTTTAGCGACCAATTTTATTTGGTCGCTAAATCTTTGGTCGGTGGAGCCCTTTTTTGTTGTAGCATATATATCCGAGTAGTCTTGCAACCTCAAGAAGTCTAAAACAGGATGTGCTTCAGCAAGTGGGAGTGGCCTATGCAAAATCTACACAATATGACAAAAAGTCACTTATCTTAAACTTTTAGGTTAAATTGGAAAATAGAGTATCGTAAACTGTATAGTCGTGTCCATTACTTGTCTGGTGTTTCAGTTTCTCAAGATTCGGGGAGCTTTTGAACAAGCAAAGAACATAAGAGAGATCCTCCACTGAGTCTAAACATACATAACATAAATTTAGAATTTTAAGCTGGACTTCAGTAGCTGGAAGCCTTGTTTGGAAATCTTGGAAGCGGATGGCAAAAGCATGATCAAATATAGTTAAATTGATGATTTCAAGGAAATTATAGTTATAATCAGCCATACCTTCATCATCTGATAGTCCATGCACAGTTGATGGAGTGAGGGCAGGGAATCAAAAAACTCAGTGAAGTTATATTTTCTATGAATGATAAAATTGTAACGGAGAGAGTGGGGATTTCTTAAAATAAACATATGTGCAGAATATTTCAATTTAACGAGTTTTAGCTTGGGAGCATTAATTGTTAAGTGGTGAAATCCAGCTGGGACATGCAACTCCAGTTGCTTCTAATACTTCAGTATCAATGATGACATCAAGCAATTCCAGTGTAATCAGCCTATTAAAACCTTTGAAGCTTGGTGGAGGATTGATCGAACAAAAAGAAAGTTTCAAATGTTTCAATAGTGAACATGTAAATAGTGAAGAAGGCAATTTGTACACTTCACCCTTCTTCATTTTCAAAGTGGATTCTTCAACATCTTTCTTCCATGAGATATATATCTAGTGGTCAATTTCAGAACCAACTCTGAGTTTTGGAATAATTAGTGATGTCAATGGGCTGAGCCCCTTAATCTCATGAGCTCGGCTCGCGCTCATGGCGAGCCGAGCTCGTGGCTCATTTTCAACGAGCCAAGCTCGACCTCGGCTCACAAGCTCGTGGCTCGTCCGAGCTCGTGGACCTAGCCGAGCTTTGGCTTGCGAGCTCGTCATCTTTTTCTTTTTTTTTTAAATAGAGAAAAGCACAAATAATGTAATAAAAATACTTTTTTAAAAAATAAAAAATGTTAAAAAATACAAATAATTTAATGAAGACATTTTTTTCTTTTTTTTATTTATATCATATTGTAATATTTTTTATAAAGTATAAAATATTTATATAATGAAAACGAATTGTTTTTTGAAATACATTTACAAAAATACATTTTTTTCAATTTCTTTTTAAAGTAAATAAAATGTAAACCCTCCTTCTTTATCCGAGCTTGGGACCAATTACATCAATTTTAAGTAGACGAAGTTAAAAATTGTACACAAACAACTTGTTATAACGTGTATAATTTTTAAAGAAAATTAAATTTAACGATTAAAAAATAAGAAAGTTTTGATTAATATAATTAAATCAAATATCACTTACTTGACGACATGCAATTTCAGCACATTTATCTTGTAATCGAAAATGAGCATCCTGTCAATCTTTCACGCACATTAATGCTTCCAAATATCTTCTTTCAGTCGGCTCCTGATATCGATCAAAATACATTTATCTGCACTAAAAGTAGACTCCGAAACAATAGTGCTAATCGGAGGTGTCAACAAATCTTTCGCAATTACGGAAACAATTGGCCAACGTCTTTCATACTTTCGCCAGAATTCAATTACTTCCTCTGAACTTTTTTAATTGTTCCGTTTGTTGGTATATTATGATTGAAGTAATCAATTAATTCGGAAGACATCACACTTTGAGTTGCGACCGATGTTTGATGAGATGCAAATGTAGATGACATGACACTAGATGAACATATTGCAGTTGCATCATATCTAAATGTATTAATGCCTTGAAATAAATTCATTATTTCGACATCATCTTTTTCAATTTCAGCCGAATGAGTAGGTGTAGAGAGTACCTGACTAATATTCCCACCTATTCTTTTCGCATATAAATCATACATTCCACATAATATTTGCTCTAAATTATTATAAGTGATAGGTATATCAAGCATTAAGACTTTATTGATTTGATCAATTAGGTATTTAGTTCTCGAAATATTATATCGGGGGTCCATTGCGCATGCTAAAGGAAATAACATAGGCAGTTTTTCCCAATATTTTTCTAAACTTTAATTCCATTGCAATTATAATTTCACTAATATCAGGATTATTTGTATATTTATGGAATGTTCTTACAACTATATAAAGGAGTTCAAGCACCATATAGCTTGTGGGATAATAAACGCCGGACAAAATCTTTGTGATCTCATAAAAAGATGTCAAAAATCGTTTAACTTTCAAAGCCTAAACCCAATCGGATTCATTCAACATACCATCGTCATCACTTCTAACGTGTCTATTATTATAAAAGTCAGTTATTAAATGTTCAAAACCTTCATATGACTTTAATAGCAAGTAAGTAGAGTTCCATCTATGGCCTACGTCGCTATCAAATGTTTTAGCAGCCGTCACCCCTAGTTCGGCATAAAAATCTTCAAATGCTTGTTTTCTACTAGGAGAGATCGTAATATATACTAATACATTCCTAATCCTTTGAAATTCATCATTTATATGTCTTAGGCCATTTTGCACAATTAAATTCAAGATATGGCACACACAATGAATATGAAACAAATGCCCACCAAAATTAGGTTGAAGTGTCCTACACAATTTATCGACGACTACTTTATTAATACTAGCATTATCAAAAGTAAAAGACCAAATTTTAGTCTCACAATTATATTCTCTAACAATACTGGCAATATCATTATATATATTATTAGTATTGTGAGGAAATTCAATAATTCTAAAAGCAATAATTTTTTTATGCATGCACCAAAGTGGGACTATATAGTGTGCGGTTGCGGCTATATATGATCTTTTATTAACCTCTTCCAATATATCAGAAGTTAAAGATGTAACACCCCATATTGTTGCAAATCCATAATTAATTGTTGTTTTGAATTATTGAAAATATTGCATTATATTGGCACGAAGAGTATTTCGACTTACCCCAACGTACCTTGTTTGCAGATATTCTTTCACGAACGAGACGAAGTGTTGGTTGTTTGCAATAGCCAAAGGCAACTTAGTGGCGGCAACAAATTTCACCATTTCGGTTCGAGTATTGTCTTCCGAATAAACCCACGTGGATAGGGGTGAAGTCGTAGAACCAACGCCTGGATTGCCAAATTGCAATTGTGTTTGACCAGCTGGAAGAAGTCCATGTTTGGCCACACATGCTTTGTAGTGGCGGTTGAGATAGGTGGTACCAATTCCTTTTTGCCATACCAATCTTTGTTGACAGTATTTACATACTGCCTTAGATTCTGCAAGGCCATCGATGACTTTTTTCGTTGAAATCAGCTTAAAATGATCCCAAAATATTGCTTGTTTTTTGTCCTTTTGCTTTTCCCTTGCATTTAGAATGTTTAATTCAGCATCTTCGTTCTCATGTTCCACTTCGGAAACGTTAATATAATCCAACTCAATTGGATTGTGGCTTTCCTGATCGTGAATGTGAATATCTTCAGTATGAATACGTCATTTAGACCGGCAAATTCATTTGAAAACTGACTTTACAGCGTCCTAGGCGATTCGCCATGTGGTCCACATTCCGTATTGAATAAGCTTTTAACAAATGAGCGTTGATCCATTTTTTTGATTGTTTATGATGAAATCCAAATATAATAACTAGAACAATATAAATGTAGTGAGAATTGAGAATTGGATGAATTGAAATTGTAACTGAATAAACTGTAAAAAATGAATCGATATTGTTTATTTTGTAGCACAAGAGAGTAAAAATTTGACAATTGATATAATAAAAGAGAGTTGAGAAATGAGAGGTAGTGAATTAGAGGAGACAATTGATATGAGAAAAAAAAAGACGAGTTAAAGGGTATTTATAGTAGAAGGGAAAAAAATTTAAAAAATTTCAGCGACCATTTTGGTCACTATTTTCACGAGCCACAAGCCGATCGTGGGTGGCTCGTCTTCAAGGTGAGCCAAGCGGGCTCGGCTCGTTTCTCGACGAGGCCAGCTTGGCTCGTGCTTGGGCTTGTGATTGTACGAGCTCGAGCCGCCCACAAACTCTATTTCGATGAGCCAAGCGATCGAGCTGACGAGCGGGTCGGCCCTTTTGACATCCTTAGGAGTAATGAGGCTCGACTTAATTATGGATCCTTGGTGAAGTAAAAGAATCTGGTAAAGAATCCCTACAAACTTCATTCTAGCCAATTCTTGGTTTCTCTTTTGATTCTTGCCATGTTGTAACATCAAATATCAGCTGTGGCAGTTTGACCCATTTGTTGGGAATCTACTTAACGTGTGCAGCGAAAAATTAAAAAAAAAATTCAATTCCCACGAGGAAGAGGTTGTACATTTTCTAGATCTGCAAACTTCTTTGCCTTATCTTTGTTCCAGCAACTTGGATCTATCTCCCACAGCTGTCTAATTGTTCAGCCTCCAACGGTCATCCACATAGAGAACAAGATTGTAGGATTAAGGTTTTTCTTGTGCTAGAAAGAATAATGAAAAATTTCTAAAGTTTTTGAAAACCTTAATCATATTTATATAAGCCCGAATGGGCTGGGCCGGGCCTGACCTAGTCCAATATTTAATTAACCCATTTAATTAAATCCGGTTCATGAATTGATTAATCTAATTAATCAATTCAGGCCTATAAATAAGCAACCTAATTTATTAATTTATTCAACACTTGTTAAATTAATTAATTGACAAGTCACAATCTTCTAATTCTCCTTTTGTGTGCAACCCATTAGGTTTCCGATCACGATACCTAACGATGTGAAATATTATTTTGATCTAATCAAAATTGATAAATTAAAATATCCTTTTAATTTATCACCAATTCACACTCGTTGTCCAAGCTTGACATATAACAATGTGTCAGGGCAATACATGTGATGAGAAATGTTACGTGGTATGAGAAAACCAAACTCGTTCATTTACCGTCAAACTATAATCCCTTCGTCAATATGATCCGATCAATTACGAGATATAGAAGTGTGTCAATCTCGACTATCAATCATATCTTTTACTCCACTAATAAGTCAATATAAGTCAAAAACTCCTTTTCGACTTATGAGTACACCTTGGCCAAGAATTTTATTATTGACTTAATTGAATGAAATGCAGATCATAATCTCTTACTATGTAAGAGTGACGAATCCTCTATTAGTCATTCACAACCTTCACATGATTCTTGACATACTCGAACGATGTGGTATTAGTGGCCCTTGGCAGAGCAACATCCAACACTGTCAAAGCATTACTATCCTCATATAAGGTACTATGATGACATCAAGTCAAAGAACAAATTCCACTACCGAACGTTAGAAATTAACCACTGACATTCAGATAGTTATCCATATAGAATCTCTCGACGGGTCACCAATGTTTTGTTCTATAGCAAAATATCCACGGGTTCATTCAAGTGTCACCACACTTTAGCTTGTGAGATCAGCTACTTACTTCATAAGTAAGAAATATCACACGTGATGGTCTATCTGTAATAACGATATATATATCTCGTTATTACTTACGACCACAGACGATTTAAGATTCAATCACATATAACTTGTATCTCACAATCACAACTCCTTGTGATTAACAAATTACGAAAATTTGAATCTGCGGACTCTATTATATAATTTAATTGTATATTAATTAAATAATAGATCTAACATTAAATTGCATTAATTATGTATTAAAAGTATTTATATACAAAGTTGATTGGAACTAGGACATAACACTTACACCATTTATACCTCCATTGCTTTCACAAGACACAAGTCTTTGCAGCATCACGTACTATCAAACACATTAATATGATCTATATGACATTATCAGGAAGGTCACTTATCATATCAATAGGCTCGAATTGGGCAATCTTCATTCTGCTATGTAATTGGCTAACAAAATTCTGTAACAACTCTCAATTAATAAAAATTTCAAATTGCCTTAAACTAACTTGCATGCGTGTAGAAGATATAAACAAATTCTGCATTAAGTTCACAAAATTTTGTTCGCTTTATTTTAATTTTTTACACCGATATTTTTAATAGTTATCGAATTGGTCATATCACTAAGAAAGTAGAGATAATATTCATAGTTGATATTTACATTTGCATATGCTTAAAATATACTTTTGAACAGAATTTCAATAAAAAAAAAAAAAAATTCATGTAGCCCATCCAAACTTATTCACAACAATCTTTAGTTGTTATTATTATTATTATTATTATTATTATTATTATTATTATTATTATTATAACTCAGATATCCAAACTTCGCCTAAATAATCCTGAGCAGTGGCGGCCTTCCCCCCTGGTTTACCACCCGGCTAAATCCGGATGCGAACACAACTTATACACAATTGGGCTGGACATTCAGGATGCTGCTCTTCTCCCTGTAAACTTTCCTTTACGACGTGCGGACAAGACCCCCGAAGAGGTGACAAAGCGCACCATAACTTTGCCTCCATAGAACAACTACCTTCCAACATAAATGTTGCCTTCTAGCTACCATGGGGAGTCGAACCTCCGATATCCGTGTGGAACCCTCCTGCTTTACCACTACACCATGCCCGTGAGGGCACAATCTTTAGTTTGTTGTTATTCTTAGTGGTGGACAAGGTGGCCAACTGCTCATTCTAATAAATTATGAGCAAACAATAAAATAAGCACCTCATATATATTGTTTCAAGTTTTATTGAATTGTATGCATATTATAATTAACTTTAATTGGCATGTCAATCGTCTTGGACTTTCAAGGTATAATCCACTACAACATTTTATTAGTCACAATGAAGATAAATTAACAATAAACATATAACATTTCATTAGGCAGTATTACATTTGCAAAAATTAGGACAAGAGAAATGTGATGTTACATGTTAAAATTAATTTTTTAGTCAATTTTGATAAAAATTGATGTAATAGGTGATTAGAAAGTTATGAATATCATAAAATACGTGATCTAAATGAATTATTGATTTTGACTTTGATAAAAATTTAAATTTAAATTCCCATCCCAATACCTACTTACCCACATGAATAATGATTGAAAATTAGATGATGTGGCATGGCTTATTAAAACAAAAGAAAAAGAAACACTACCTCTACAAGTGTAAAAAATCGGGAAATGGGAATTCATTCTACCATTTTAACCCTACTTTGCGTCGACTCGCGCCACTGCCAAACCCACCCATCGCTAATTTTCAATCCATCTCCGACGCAACTCCGACCACTGGGTAAATAGAAAGACTACATTTCACACCATTTTTCCCAAATTTTGTGTCGATCTTACAACCGAAAACCCATCCATATCGAGTCAAAATCCGGGGAACTGACCGGAGAACTTTGAGCTATTTGTAAACAAGAGGTTGGACGTGTTCCTTACATCCCACCACTTTCATCAGCAAGTCTGAAACTTGCTCTAACCCTAAATGATAGAAAAAGGTATTTTCTCATCCTTCCTTGAATGCATCCAAATTTGTTTAAATTTATTGTTAAGTGGTCACATGAGTCCATATGTTGTCATCCTTCGCCTATTACCCACAACAGATAACTGAGTTCTATTGACCTGAGTTTGAAAACTTGAACAGAGCATAACTTATACGTCACTCATTTTTGTTCTATTCTGGATCCGAAATTATGGAAGATGATAACCATGACTTGTTTATCAAAGTGTGTACATTTGAATATTTAACCTTTGTTGTATTTGTTTTCATCAATGTCTTTCTTGATTTCTTCATGTATGGAACCGATCTTTTTATGACAAACATATCTCTTCTCATTGACAGAGGCATTGAAGCTAAACAGCCAAACTCTGCTATTGGTAAATGTGCTGGGGTTAAACTCATTAAGAATAACAAGAAGATTGCTGCTTTTGTCCCCCATGATGTTTGTTTAAATGTGCTTTACTTTGCTAGTGAAATTAGTACATCTAGAAATGTTCATACTTCTTAAGCATGGATGCCTGATATGTAATTTGCTGGATATTATTTCGTATTTTCTTTTAATTTACTGTATCAGAATTTGTGTTGCTATGTGTTGATATTTAGATAATCATTTTCTGGTCTCTCTCTCTCTCTTGCAGTTGGAACATTGCATGCATTTTTTTTTATTGATAATCAAGTAATATATTTTGGCCAAATTAATTGAAATCCTATGTAACTTGGGCATGCTTTTCGGCCGTGTGATAGTCCTTTCTAAATGTGGACAAGGCACAATGTTGGCTTAATAACTCAGCTTGGTCGAGCTCGCCTGTACTAGTCGTGGAGGATCGGCACAACTATTTCTCCAAGGCCACAACTACTATTTTGTCCTAGGATAGAAGGCTAATATAAGTCTGTTGTCACAAAAAAGTTTGTTGATTCAGTTTGTATATTTGTTTATCAAAGTGTGTACACACTTTTGATATGTTAGTTTTTTACTTTTGATAAAAACAACTCTTTCTATTACACAATAGTTTGGATTACGACTATTCAACTTCGTTCAAATGTACACGTATTTGCATTTTATTGTTTGACTATTCAAATGTACACACGTCACAATATTATTTATTTACGTGCTTTATGGTAACCAATTTTTATTACCATTATTGCATTGACAAAGGTTTTCAACATACAGTGAATTGAAGCACACATTGCAGTGAGTCTAATGTCTAAACACAATAAGAAGATACTTTGGTTCTTTTCATTCTTTTAACCGTGTTCTAAAGTCTAAATATTTGGGCTTGTCTTAACTTAATGAGGAAACCGGTTCTGTTGCCTTGTCTTCTACACTTAGCAAAATGCCCAGTTTAGTATAGGAAACTTTCATTTTGGGACACATAACAAATGTTATCAACTACACAACACAAGCAACTTTTGTCAAATAATTTGGCCGGGATGTTTGAAAATATAAATGAGAACAATTACATGACAAATTTCTAAAACCATAACATATGTTACAACGAACCTCATAACAATCATATGTCAAACGATCGAACAATTATGACAAGATTAACCGTACATCTAATATCCTACAATGACCAAACCGTTCGTTCATTATGATAATCCATAAAGCAAATTCAAATAAGCCGTTTAAGTCTAACCCTTTCCTTTCCCTTCCCATCACACTTTGCGATTTCCTATCCTTTAATAAAACTCAGGCGCAATGATATGTCCACGTCTAGTTTCTCGCTAATTCGAGCTAGATTGTCAAAGAGTTTTGGCAACTCTTCATATTCCACGTTCGACGCATGATTCACCGCTTCATTAACGGAACTCGACTCCATGCTTAACACTTCTTCTTTTACCCAGTCAAAATATTCACAATCATTACTACAAGTGAAGAACAATCGTCCTTTGTTACTAACATCCCATTCGACCTCAAAACATTTTCGATAACCGTGTTTACACGAAGGGCATCGACGTTTTGATTGGCATTGTCCAAAGTAGCGAGTGTCAAATTCCGGAATTCCTTCCTCTCATTCTAGTCGATCCTAGCTAAAAAAACAAATAAACAAGCATGAATGCAATTGAATCACAAATTCCCATATCAACTACCTAAACCTCACCATCCATGTCAAAAAGCATTACCCAATTTGATTGTCGACATTAAAGAATCAAAAGCAAAAGAGTAAAGGCAGAGCTATATGACCGACATTAACCATTCAAAACCAACAATTCTGATTATCAAACAAGGCATTAAACTATTCGAGTCTCTGTCTAAATGCAAGCCATATAAAATCATATTATCAATGCCATATTATTGAGTGTGGCCCCTTGAAAAATCAACATTGGGGAGATTTAATGTAAGAATAAAAAAAAACCACCAAAATTAAAGTATAGAACCAGAAAAGAAGAACTACTTATACATTATCACCGGAGATGGAGCACAGTGTGGAGGTGAACGGAGTTCAATGCGTTGTCGGCGATGGCAAGTGAGTACGAATGGCGGATGCTAACTTGGTATACCCTTCGTTGGTGCCGATCTTTTGTGATGGTGAGTGCATACATGGAAAAGTGATTTGGGAGGAATGAAAGAAATTTCTTGATAGTGCTTGGAGGAAAATGGTTCAGACGGAATGGGAGAAATGGGAGAGATAGTTTGGGGCAAGTTTTGGGGGAAATTTTTGTAGTGGGTTTCTTTATCTTTTTTTTTTTTAGTTTGTTTGTCTTTTTATTTTTTAATTAATAGGCCATGCCGCCTCATCAAATTTAAAATCCTTTACCCATTCTGTAGTGCCTTTTCTGTACCCATAGCTAAATTGTACCTCATATGCTTCATATGAGATGTATAGCACACTTTCCTCAATAATTAGTTAATTACTTTACTAGTCTTCTCTCCTTAATAATTACTTTACTAGTCTTCTTTCTTCATCCGTTTACATTTCCTTCCATTTTTTGGTTCAGAGCTACAACCTCCATTTCCATGGCTTCTATGCTATAAGCTAATCAAACCTTTCTGCTTTTGCTTCAGTGGTAGCGCTTATTGTGTTTTAAGCAAAAATTTAGAGGGTAGACAACATTCGCTTTCACTATCTTTCTTTTTCCCTGCAATTCGACCATCCTTTCCTTTCCTTGCAATGGATATCTCATTCACTGATCCGTTTACTAGTCCTATAAATCTCCTTGAAATTGTGATCGAGCATATATCACGTGTCTCCTCCTCACATGTACATATAATTTATATGTTAACTGTGCTTCGAGATTTACTATACCGTAGAGACTTTGAAGATATTGAAGAATTCAGAAACTTTTTCCAAGTATTAGTGTCATTTGGGCAAGAGCTTATGGTGCTCTTTACAGTCCCTAACCAGCAAATCTTGTTCAATTTAACTCCTACTCTCAATTATAATGAAGTTGGTGTGGCCTTCATCAACTTTTACCTCTTAATGGTAGAAGTTATCATACATTTTGAGGAAGAGTTGATTGCTTGTTTAAAGGGTACGTTCCAAAATCTCCGGACAGAGCTTGGATTTCTCATAAATTTTCTTGGGGATACAGCAATGCATTTGCAGCCCACCTAGACTATATTGATAGATATCGAAGATGTGGTCAATGAGGTAGGAATTTTCTTGTATTCCTTACTTTTGGCCATTGTTGTATTTATTCTGATCAATAAAGAAGAAGAAGCCTGTACTAGAATAATGGATTTGGAATTTGTGGTTGATGAGGTAAAAAGTCTAATTCATTCCAAATTTTTCCACTTACCATTGCTATCCACTATGGTGAAGTGAAGAAAAAGAAGAAAAAAACAGAAAAAGGCAATGATGGATATCAAAGCTCTGCTCCCAAAAATAGGAAGTTTATTATATATCTTTATTTTCACCGAGGATGATCAAGTTATGGAGACAGGAATCTTGGATCTTGCTCTTTCTGATTTATTTACAAACTTTGAGACCTTGAAAGCAAAGATTAAAGAGCACTGCATCACGGTCTCAAAGATGCCAAGTGATATCGCTCCAAAGACTAGTGTGCTTTCACTCTTCATTATTGATTCTGTCCTTGATGATCTCATAGATCTAATAAATAACAAGTCTGACTGGATTGTTGTTGTGAATGATCAAATTGTAACACTCCACGAGGAGCTAATGTTATTGGGATCATCCATCACAGATATAGCACTGCAGCACGAAGTAGAACATGAAGAACTTGTGACACGGAGCAAAGACATAGTATATGAAGTTGAATTTGAAATCAACTCATTTCCTCATGTTTGGTATCTTATTCTCCGGCTCCCTCAACTCATCGACAAGATTCGGCTTATTGTGATGGCTATCAAAGAAATGAAGAACAATATTGAAGTAGTCAGAATGTCAAATGTTTCAAAACATCCACATGAACACGTAGAGCCACAGTCAAAAGAACCTTCCATTTTGGAAGACATTGTTGTGGGATTTGACAATGTAGTAATTGAAATCACAGAACAACTTGTTGGAGGAACAGGCCAGCTGCAAATTATTTGCATCTTTGGGATGTCTGGACTTGGTAAAACGACCTTGGAAAATAAATTATATAAACATCTCTCCATTTTATACCATTTTTACAAGCGTGCCTAGTGTGTTGTTTCTCAAATATATACTAAGAAAAATATATTGATTGAAATTTTGGGCTCAATGAATAACAGTAAGAGGGATACATACATGAAAAAGGAGGAAGAAATCTTGGTTCAAGATCTTTACAAAAACTTAAAAAGAAGGCGATTCCTCATTGTGATAGATGACATTGGGATATCAGTGTGTGGATTGATTTGAAAAGTTGTTTTTTAGATGACGGAATTGGAAGCAGAATCTTATTCGCTACTCGAAATAAAGAAGTGGGTTTGAAGGCTTCAGCTCGCAATGTCATAAATGAACTTCCTTTTTTGTTAGAAGTTGAGTGTTGGGAAATATTACAAGGGAGTGTTCAAAGATAGAAAATGTCCTCAAGAATTGCTAGATACTGGCAAGCTAATTGTAAAAAACTATCAGGGCCTACCACTTGCAGTGGTGGTAATAGCTGGAGTTCTTGCAAACATGGAGAAGTGAAAAAAACCTGTGGAAAAAAATTGCATGAAATTTAAGTTCACATATATCCGAAATACGAGAGAAGTGCATCCGAACATTGCAATTTAGCTACAATCATTTACCAATGCATTTGAAACCACGTTTTCTTTACTTTGGAGCATTCAAAGAAGACATGGATATCCCTGCACGGAAGTTGATATTTCTATGGGTTGCAGAAGGATTTATAAAGAAGGAAGAACAGAAGAACATAGAGGATGTGGCACTAGAATAACTAATGAAACTGATCGATAGGAGCCTAGTACTTGTTGCTGAAAGAAGTTTTGATGGAAGAGTCAAAACATGCAAGAATCATGATCTATTGCATGAAATGTGCTTGAGAATAGCTGAAGAAAATAACTTTTTGAAGTTGATCAAAGTGTATTTCAATGTTTTTCTTCTATTTCCTTTCTTTTCTGTCCATTTTTTTTATTTTAGCTTACTAAGAATGGTTATTATATTTGATGATCGTAACATGATGTGATTCTGTTTTTTTTTTTTACCAGTAATGATGATGATGAACAACGGTTCTTCAGTCAAGTATCGACGTATCAACAGTACCATCATCTGAGTATCAACTATGCAAAATTTCTTAGTTCACTACCTGTTGGTCTACACGTACGCTCTCTTCTATTGGATTTGGATTTTATGAGTTCCATCAAATTAATCTCATGCAGCTACAAAGTTTTTAGGGTCTTTTGTGGATGGTCACTGTATGACTTTCTAATAGGACTTGAATATCTGGTTCACTTGAGGTATTTGGAAATTTCATGTACACTGCCACAAATGGAAAACTTCCACATATTAGAATTTCGTGTTGTGTACAATGATGATGAAATTGAATTACCAGAGATCCTTCTTAATATGGTGAGTTTGAGACACATGGAGTTTAAGGGTGGTGCGTACTTCATTGAATCTAGTCGTCAACTTGCAACTAACAATAAGAGCTTCCAAATAAATAACCTACAAAGTATTTTTGTACTCTCAATTTATGATGAAATGGATGAGAGTATTTTGAGAAGTTCACCCAACCTTTGCAGAGTGGAAGGCAGAGTTGAGAATTCATTAAATTGTTCCTTCAACTTCCTTAATCAGCTCGAATCACTGAAGCTATCAACAGCACATGGTACGCTTTATTGGCGTTCCAGTTTGATTAGTTGGCCCTTAAATCTAAAAAAATTAACTCTAGTTGGTGTATATCTGTCTCGAAAACAAATGGAGATAATTGGAAGATTGCGTTGCCTTGAGGTTCTCAAATTAGTGTCTGCTGCCTTTGAGTGGGAACAATGGGACACAAGTGAAAGTGAATTCCCACAACTTAAATACTTGAAACTTTGTGCCGTAAAAATTGCAGAATGGAATGCCTCAAGTGATAATTTCCCAAGGCTTCAACGAATAGTATTGGAACATTGCAAGAATCTAAAGATGATCCCTTCCAATTTAGGTGATATTCCAACGTTACAGAAGATTGAGTTATTTATGTGTGGTCAAACTGCCAACGAATCAGCAAAGAAAATTGAGGAAGAGCAAAAGGAGATGGGGAATGAAAATTTTGAAGTCACAATCTGTAGCACATTTGGTGATATTGAAGCCATTCTTTCACACATTTCCCCGCAGATGATGAAGGAATTCAACAGCAGGGAAATTCAGAAGGTAATAATGAAAGATAATTTCTCTTTTAATTCTCTTTCACGTTCTCATCTTGGTCCTGTTATACTAAAATGATGTTGGATATTGGTTAAATAAATTGAGAATTGAAAATCGATTAAAGTTCGTATCGAATTCGGCCAAATACTCAAAAGCTCGACTCAATCCGTTTAGGCAAAATTGTTTGCCACTTCGCCGCTTCGGGGCGCACAAACGGGGATCGACCTGCCCGGTCAGGTCGCGAGGGTCGAGGGGGCAGCGCCTCTCGTGGGGGTCGGGGGCAACGCCCCCGAAAGAGAATTTTGATTTCTCTGCATGTATTGAAGGGTATATTTGGCATTTCGAAAACCAATATCGGATGAATGAGAAATTACGAAAAAGACCTCAACCATTAGTCAATAGACACCTTTTCAAAAGGTGCATTGTTTGGAAAGGGTGCATGGTTTGGCCTCAACCATTTCGTCCACACCCTTTCTTGGTCTATAAATAGGACCCTTTGGGTGTCCTATTCCACACAATTTGATATGCAAAAACGTCTCTCATCCTCTCTTCTATCCAAAATCAAAATCATTTTATTTATTTTGATTTTCTTTCATTTCATCTGTGGAGTACATAAGTCTACATTTGGTTCGTTGTACTTGTGTTTTGGAGTGCTACAAACACAAGTGTAGCCGTTGTATCTTGGGAGTCGATTGCCGAAATCCGTAGGCACCGTTGCGGGGCAAATTCGACTTAAGGACAAAGAGTCCAACTCTTGCCTCGGCTTTGTCACCATCATTATACTTATTTCGGCGTCACTATTCACAAAATTCTTCCAACAAATGAAACATCAAATAAAATTTTTGGCTTATATTGAAATTAACCCCTGTTTAGTTCAAATTAAAATCAGATTTTTAGTAGATTTTCATAAAGGTTGATAAAATGTGTGATTGAAAAGTTAATAAAAGTTACAAATCTCATAAAATGTGTGTTGAAAATGAGTTTGGGGGGAAAAATGAGTTACAAAAAATTGGGACCAAACAGGAGCTAAGGTTGGCTCTATTTTATGAGCCTCTTGATGTTATTTTAGGAATTACTAAACCACAAGGTTCTATGTTTTGGCATTGCTTCTCTATTATTTCAGCTTTTCATATTTTTTACTATAAAATCATGTTGACATAAAATCACAACGATCACATTTTCACTTCTAGCTCATTTTAGTCCTCAAAATAATTTCATTGTTTAGCTCAAGTCCTCCATTAATTGCATGGGCAGTCCTTCAATGCCCAAACTTGATATCTTTGTCCTAGATTCTAGATTCCATCCAATTTCCATCCTTCTTGATCAAATATCGTCCCTTTTTATTCTTTCTTGTTCAAGACTAGTTTTTCTCTTAAAATAATCAATAAAAACACAAAATTAAATATCTGGCTCATAAAATTACCCCCAAACACCCTCTTTTGGTGGCTTGGATAAGTCTAAAATCACACTTACCAGCTGTCATAGATATGCAACTTCAAGAGTGGAATGATATTTCTTCGAGGTAAATAGCAACTTACTCAATTGTGTTATATGTTTATGTCCGTATAATTCATCTTCTACTTTGAATGAGGACAAGTTAATTCAATTGTGTGAGTAATATTCTAAAGATTTTAGGGAGAATTACAGTTGGGGTCTCAAACTTTTCAAATTATTGTAGATCACACCCAAACCTTGTGTTTTTATTGTAGCTAAAGGACATGTGGACAGAATTCATCAATTTAATCATCAGTTTACCAAAAATACTACCTAACACAATTTTTTTATTATATTTTTTATGTAATTATTTAAATTATTTTATATGGGATAACATGGTTAGATCGTTGACTTTTGGTCAACTAATGGTCAAATGAATGGATTCCATCCACATGTCGGCTTGGGTATAGTTTGCAACAATATAAAAGGTTTGGGACCCCAGTTGCAATTTCTCCAAGATTTTAAACAAGTAGAGATCTTGGCACTTGATGAGTAAATTTACACATATTATTGATATACACACAAGATTTTAAAGGGTTAGAGACGTTAGTGATCTTGCAGAAAAGTTGACTGTGATAAAAAAAAATGTGTACCCATTAGTTTACATGTTTGTAACATTGGCGCTAATTTTTTCAGATGTCCATTCTCGATGATTGAGATTTTCCAGAATTGATTGCGTAATTGGAAGGGAGATCAATGGTTGAGTGACACATTGGTGGCATATATTGAGAGCGATGTATTTGACAATATTGATAATGATGTAATTATATGATGTTTCCAAAGTATTAAAATTTGTATAATGCAGTTATAGTAATGTATTGACTTATTTTCATATATATATATATATATATTTTTTTTTTTTTAAAGAAAATTGTACCTTAATTTTTTATCCTACAATGAAAATTGTGTGGCTCCACCAATGATAATAGGCTTGATAAAAACAATTATCTTTGGTGGAAAATCAACTTCTGAATGTCGTCATGGCTAGTGGATTAGAGGGTTTTATTGATGGCACATATACTTTTCCATCAAAGATTGTTGAAGAAATGCTCATCCTAAACCCCCACAGTAAGCAGCATGGCAGAGGTTTAATAGGCTTGTAATGAGTTTGATTTACAACTCACTAAGGAATTATGTCTCGAATAGTGAGTGGATTTGATTACTGCTGATGATATCTGGACTTCGGGTCGAAATTTTTATTAACTTTTCAGAATTATGACTTCAAGGTCTTAATTTCCAATCTCTTGTTGTTCTTAGTTCTTACAGAATTTGCTTCACAGATTCTTAGAGTGCTTGCTCAGACCCTCTGCCAGAGAACTTTCCCGATCAATAATTTGGTCAGGAGTTCTTGTATGTGCACCCACCACCACCATGTAGTCGGCCATTTCGACCGGCACCAAAGAAGCATATGAATCAACTCAAACTCCTTTACCGAAGCAGAGCTCTGTATCGAGATTTTCGCTGTGGTTTCTCTGTTTTACTAGACTCCAAAATCCAGCATCCTTCCATATTTTCCTCGCATCTGGGAACCAAAATAAAGCATGTGCCACAATGAAATCTCTAAGTGATTAACATAGGAGGAGCCATTGTAATTCTTCTTTAAATAAAGTCATAAGATTGTTGGTTAAGGGATTCCTTCAAATATAATAGAAGAAGAGAGATGGTAGATTTTCATGTATATCAAATCGAAACAGCAATCTCTCCACATATGGATGTTAGTAGGCCTTTCATGGGCGGACCCAAGAAGGGTCCCCTAGGGTTACTTGATCCTCCAGTTTTTTCAACACTTTTTTTTTTTTTTTTTTGTCTTAGTTTTCGGGCTCACTATGAAATTTCAAATGAAATTGAAATACTATATTTTTAATATCATTTTGAAGTACTCACAGTCTAGTATTTTCATATCGTTAATGTTGTGTGAAATAACCAATCGTAGCAAATGTTATGACGCGTCAAAATAGACAATTTCAAATTAATATTTCGAGAATTTCGATAACGAACTAACTTTAAAAATTTTTCGACAACTATACACTAGTCATATACATAAATCTTCTATATCCTCTTGAAGCTCATTTCTAAAACTATATCATAAACACATTGAATAATCTAAATAAATATCGAAAATAGTTAAACGTACGTCAAACGTGTATGCTAAAAAGAAACGTATAACTTGTCTTTTTTGAAAAAAAAATCAATTATTTTATTAATGCTTATTATTTTTGTGCGAAAAATTTCTCAATATAATTTACATCATTTAATTAGGAAATTTTATATGTGGTATGAAGTCAAATTTTTTTTTTTTTGACGTAAAAATTCTTTAAAAATTTTTTATTACTTCATAGGGGTTAAAATTATTATACTACGTTTTCTTGGTTATTTTTATTTCTGAAAAAAAATTTACATGTAAAAAAATTCAATCATTTTTAGGAATTTTTTTATAATTGTTATCTTTTCTTCTCGATCAATTTTTTTTTTCAAATGACTCAAAAATTATATTAGGAAATTTATTAGATTAATTTTTAAAAAATTAATGATTGAGAGAAAAAAGTAACAATAATAATAAAAAATCCTAAAAATGATAAAAAAAATTTATATATATATAAAAAAAAATTAGATATAAAAATAATCAAGATGAAAAAGTAGTATAACAATTTATAACCAATATAAAGTAATAAAAAAAATTCGTCTTTTTTTTTTTTTAATTTGATTGTGACCCCCTAATATAAAATGTCTACGTCCACCTCTGACGCCTTTCCAAAGCGTTGCAAATCTATTCATGATTACAATCATATAATGGTGGCTGCTGGGTTTATATAGTACACACAAAAGACAATGGAAAAGGGAGGCTGGAAGAGAAGAAAATAAATGGCGGCTGCTATAGAAGAAAGTTGTGGTTGCCAGAGAAAGTTTTTCTTTCAACTCAACTTTGGGTGTGGAATTCACGCATGCTTTTATTTTTATTTTTATTTTGCTTCGCTACATAGTACAAATTGTGAATTGCTCTAAAGTATATTTTGGTAATTCTAAAGATGTAGTATTCAAAGTAGGTATCTCACAAATTTCATCAAAGTGATTGTTTGTGATGAGATTATTTCTTGTCCTTGGAGATTGATTATTGTGGTATTCTCCAATTTGTTGACAATTCAAATTTTTGCTTAAATTTGAATATTGTAATATATATTTATCAATTTGGATTTGGCTTGAGTTATCCCATGATTTTTTCCTGTACACTGGAGGGTTTTTCCATGTAAAAATTTGGTGTTGCGTTCTCTAGTTTTTTGCTTTGATAATTTACTTTCATATTTAATCATTGTATTTAATTGCTTGGATTGTTGAATTTATTCTTGAAATATGCGAAATTGCTTGGATTGTTGAATTTATTCTTGCAATATGTGAAATTGCCCAACACCTTGGTCCTTCTCAGGTCGCTGCATCAATCATCACTATACGGAATTTTTTAGTAATTGCTACTTGCTAAGTGATAGGATAATTGGTAATCTGTGAGTTTTTAATTCCTTTGTTAGCTAAGCATCATTCCTAAATTCATGAACATGCCTTGTAGCATTTTTCTGTGTATATATTCAACAAGACGGGATGAAAAGATTCAAGCTTCCCTTCTCAATTTCTGTTCGACTTTTTAATTTGCTATATGCATATTTCCAGAAGCCACTAAGTTAATACGAAACAAATAGAAAAAGGAAATTTTTCTATTACTAAACGTTGCAAGCTATACAATGGACATAACATTGCAAGTCATGCATTTGGATGTTTTTAAAGACCAAAACAAACTGCTCCATTGGATGAGTATCACAAGTTAAAAATTCTACAATGAATTTTTGATGTGGTGCAAAAGGAATTGGACTTTATGGAAAAGTGGGATCGACGCAAGCAAAAATAGATAACTTCTCAATTTTTGGAGAAATGTTGGGGTTGTCCATTTTTGGCTAAATTTTAGTCAAATTTGATCGAAAACATGTCAATGAACAAAACTCAGCAGTTTTCCATCTGATGTAGGCCCAATTTCGGCCCAATTCTTTTGTTTAAGCTTTTTTCCTTTTTTGGTAAATTTTGTTTTGGTTATATTTTTTTCAATTTAAGTCAGATTTGAATTCCATTTGTTGGAGGATAATCTTTATGATTAAAACTTTCAATTTTAGTCATTATCTCGATTTTTTCAAGTTTTGAAAAAAAAATTATTATTATTTTTTATTTTTTCGAATTTTCCTAGGGTTTTTCCTATATAAAAGCATTGTAAGCCCTTTATGGTCACGCTTTTGAGAGAAATAGATTTTTTTCATGAGTTTTTTTCATCTTGTTAGATCTATTCATCTTTTCTATAATTTTCCGCTACGTCAATTTTGGAAACAAATCAACTTATTCCAAAATGACTAGGCCAAAACATCGAAATAAGTTAAATCATAGTCTACGTTATTTCTTTCACGACGTATATCATATACTTCAAATGAGCCATTATATGTATTTTATGTTGGCGAAACTATGAAACTGTGTAGAGTAAATTTACAACAATTACTATTGTTAGGAAAAGTATTTTAGTGCCACTGTTTCAGAAGTTACATGACATATTGGCCTCTTATTTGGTGAAACAAGATTTTTGGAATTGTATGTGGATCACATTATAGGGTTGCAACCAATTGATCTTGCTTTATTTGACTCTTGCACTACAATGGAATTCATTGATTCTATATGTAGAATTTCTATTCAAAACTGGCTCAATTCGGCTCGATTCTGAAGAAAACCAGACCAAACAAGGTCGCTTCATAGTTAACCTACATTCATTTTTTTCAAAACCTCATTCATTTTTTTCTGTATTTTTTCTCTGCTCATGCAATTTGGATCAAACAAAATATTTGAGATAATCTTTTCAAGAAAAATAATAAAACACAGCATTCACAAATATGTAACTAATGCCAAGATTTCTATCTGTGAAAGTTGTGACAGTAGGTAATTCAAAAATTATTATGAAGATAGTGGAACTTATTGATGGATACAGATTTGTATTATTACCTCCGTCGTTTGTTGACTACAAGTTCACCAAGTTGCAACATCAAAGGTAATGCTATCAACAATGAGCAATAATGCTTACCAAAACAACATCAAATTTATTTGTTATCTTGCTCAATCATGCGCATTAATCTAGCATATGAAACATACAATATATTTCCCTATGCATATAAACTGTCTCGAAATTTTACTCTAATTTACGATTTATAATCAACTTTTGTGGAATTGGCACTCTATTATTAAAATTCAATTGTGTGTATCATTTTTATACACATATCTTGAGGTTTGTGAGAACCTAAAATATTTTGAGAAAATGCTTCTTTGTGATAAAATGGTTATGACATGGGAGAAAAAAGAGGAGTGCGTCTGTGTAGGGGTGGCGGTGGTCATGGTTGGCAACTAGGGGCGGAATTAGAGGTGGGCTAGGCTGGGCTATACATTTATTTTCTTATAAAAATATATTTTATGACTAAAAAAAATTATGTGAAATTTTTTTCTTTTACAGTTAGCCCAACATAAAAGATATTTTAGTTCAGTCATGGCTCCGTCTTTTAACAATGACGACGTTGATTAGGAAGGATTTGTTAGGTGGAGTTTGGGGTGAAATGTAGAAGATATTGAATTTATTTTTCTCTTTTTCTTTCTTTTTCATTTTGGCTATTTAGTTATTTTTTAAGTGGTTTAAGTGTGTGGACTATTTTTGTCC